GTATACGTCGAAAGTCTATGAAAAATATGTTAACTTTCAATTAAAAAATATTAAATAGGCATCTGACTTGCAGACTGCGGCTAACTTTTTTTTTTTTAATTAAACTTTTGTCTTTACGTGAGTGAATCACGCAATAATAGGTAAACTGTGATTTGGAATCAAAATTAGTATAGGCTCATGCATATTTATCGGCTTTTTTTTTATTAGGTTTGATTCAAACATTATCGGATGAAATTAATGGTATTTTTCTCAAAAACATTTTCTATGCATCTTTATGGCTTTTAAATATAATAAGCTAGCTAAGGAAACCGTTAAAACTATTATTAATTAAATTGTTTTATTATTTTAAACACATACCAAATAGTTATTTTCCAAAAGGGAAATTAAAAAGGGGGAAAAACCATAGAGATATATTGGTTCTTAATAAGAAAAATGTAGTTTCTTTTCTTTTTTTTAATTGTTTTTTGAATTACATGACAAGCACTAATAACATAAATAATCAAGATTCAACGCGAACATTGAGGAAAGGTGTAGTTTCTCACGTTCCCACTTAGCAATTTTAAATAATACTGCACGTTTAGTTCTTGGTTTCCAAATTTAACTAGGAGGCATGGATCTCTATGTTACATTACTTATTATTTCAATAAACATTGAAGAAAGGATTAAAAATGCAAAAAAAAAAATTATCTTAATAAATCTGAATTAAGAAATGCGCATTAAAAATTATGGCTTTTAGCATTTAACACGTGGAGACCTCAACTAATATCCACAAATTTAAAAAAAAAAAGTCAAGGGTTAGGTATTCCAGTGATAATGCCAACCTTGCTTGGAATAGATTTTTAAAGTTTGCGCCAACATGTTTGTTTTGCTTCTTCCATCCTTATAAAGTGTTTTTTAAAATTTTATTTTATTTTTAAATATAAGAGGTGACAATGATATTTTTAAATAATTAAATAATTTTATCCTTATCTAAAAAATGAAATAGATCATTAATTATATGTTTTCCTACCACCATTATGATATTAATTATAATATTATTAGAGGTAAAACTTAAAAATCATTATGTTTTTATGTGAATTCAACAAAATAACAAACTTTTATTAATATATAAGATTGGTTAAAAACATTTTATATATAGAGATGAGGGGAGTATGTATTTAGATGTGTGTGTTTTGCTTAAAAAAAAAAGGAAGGGTTAGGTTAGGAATAAAATTTAAAAAAATTAAAAAGGGGAAAAGTATGATGTACTTTGATTATTTCAAATCGAAAAATTACTCATTTAGTTTTCATAATTTTAACTTAATTATAACTCAATCCTCTAACTTTAATTCAGTACAATTTAGTCATTAGGATTTTATTTTTCTAAATAAAAGGACAAATATTTTAAATGATTAAAATCATAGAGATTGAGATGTACTGAGTTAAAATTTAAAAATTAAGTTACAATCGAATTAAAACAATAAAAACTAGATTATAACATAACAAGTCAAAATTAGGAACTAAGTTATAATAAATTTAAAATTATAGGATGAAATGATTATTTTTTTTCATTTGAAATTCAACTTTTGGAGATTTCCAACTCAATTAAGACTACAAATATGGGGTTCCATGCCACTTTTAATTGAATTATACTTTGAAAATCAGAATTCACAGCTCAACTTTTTTCTACTATTAACAAATTGATTGAACATTTGCAATTCACTCCCTCCGTCTCAGTTTATAAAATATTTTTAGATGAAACCATACATATCAATAAAACTTATTAAATAACATTTACAACTTTTTTTTCAAAAGCAAAAATATATACTTCTAAAAATGCCCTGCAATTAATACTCCAAAAATTTGTGAAAGAATATTAAAGAGGGAGAGAATATAATGGAAAGACTAATATTAAAAAAGTATTATTAATAAAATCTTATTTTTATTAAAGTGCTTTATATTTTGAAATGTTAAATCTCTATAAAAGGTGTCCTATAAATTACGATAGAAGGAGTACTACTCTATTCATTTGATATGAACTCTTTTGTTTTACCCAAGATATCCCAACAGTTGACAGCTGTAAGACTAATTTCTTAAGAAATTTGAATGTCATTTAAAGAGGTTATCCTTTTTCAAGGGATGCTTTTCCATACATATCTTTAGGAATTAATCCTTGAAATGATACTTAAGGGGCCCAAACCTCTACAATTTGTGTTACACGCACTCAATCTATTTACTGTCTTATTTATAAGTCATTTCTAGCATTTTCAACAAAATCAAGAAAAACATGAAACCTTGTTAACTCCATCTAAAATTTAATAAGTTTTCTGCTTTACATCTACTAAATATACATACTTAAAAAAATAATCTAGCATATAATAACCTTCTCAACATCTAATAGGGGCAAAAAGTTAAAAATGAACACAATAATAACCATTATAAGGTTCCTTATAAATATAGTTAAAACAAATACTCTCTCTACTCTATAAATAGGACCAAAAGGGTATCTCATTACATCATTTTTTGTTGTTCTTGAGCCAAATAAACAATTTTCCCAACAACCATTATATGATATAGTATTGAGTCATCAATAGAGTCATCAATCTTATAAACCTGTATGAGTATCCAGCAAAAAAATTAAAGCATGCTAATTTTTGACTTGTACTGCTAAACTGCGCGTTTGTTTATGTTATTATAAAAGTACAAACACTCAAATTAATTCTAGTAATATAAAAAGACCAAATAGAGTCTTCAATTATATATATGAATTGAATTGTAGAGTGTTATAAAAAAAATCTAGGAATCCATCAATATTCCATCCGGTTTTTATTATAAGTCATCTATAAAACTCATAAGCTAATCAAGAAAAATTAGTTACATAATTGTAGTTGTTTAAAAAATACTTTGATTTCTATTTTTGTACCTAATAAATACTATAAATTTATAAAACAAACATTTTATCTCCTCATTGGAAATTGAGACAAAGAGCATATTTGGAAGAAAATAATAAATGTTATATAACATTAAAGGGACTTACATCTCAATAAATTAGTTAATTGTATCCAAACTAATACTATCTTTTTATATCTACCTTTATTTAATAGGGTGTCTCAGTTAAATATAGAAGGGTTGAGTTATTTATTCATTGAGAATTTTTTTTGAAAAATCTCATTAATTACATATTGAAAAACTAAAAATATATTATATTTTTGAACATACAACTTAAAAAATTGCCTTATATTTTTAATAGAAGGAGTATATACCTATGCATGTTTGTGTATAAAAAAATAAATTATGCTAATTTATTTTCACTTTTTTTGGTAAAAAAATCAATTATAAAAATATATAAGGAAATAGATTACAACAATATCATCCCGTAGGTGATAGGAGGGGGAAAAAGAAAACTGACAAAGAAGTAACAATAGAAACAAATTAAAGTGAAATGAGAAAGAAGCTTAAAAAATCTTAGTCAACTTTGCTGATCTCGGTGAAGCATATGCTAATTTTTCACTTGTACTGCTTGTTTATGTTATTATAAAAGTACAAAACACTAGAATTGATTCTGGCAATATAAAAAGACCAATTAGATCAGTCAGTCAGTTATATTCTCTCTCACGCACCAAAGGAGGCGAATGCATCGAAATTCTAGGAAACATAATTGATGGATCAGAAATGAGGAGAATGGTAATGATAATATACATTTCCTATAACAAAGAGAATGCCTATGTACTATTGACATTTTTAAATTCAAAACAATATTTGAATATGATCCAGTCAAATAATTAAATTAAAAAAATTAAGAAACCATAGCTACAGATTTCTATATGCCAGTCAAAATTCATTAAGGTAACCTTTGTATTGGTGGATTTGAATTTTAGATTTAAAATCTTATATTTCAAACTTATATATTTAAAATTATTTGTTTGGATAAAGAAAATGAGAGATTTGAAGTTATTGAAATTTCAAATGGTTAGAGTTACTAATAAAAAAATTGCAATTAGCAACAGACAATATATCACTAATCAAGAAAATCCGTCACTAATTTCGGACCTAGTGACAAATTATCCATCACTAATGAATTTCTAAATTCATAGATTTTTGTGTATAGTCTAAATAGTTGAATTAATTCAAATCCAAATCCAAATCTAAATATCCATTAATTCAAATACAACATAAAATAATATTAATTAAATCTTAGATAGCCCAAATTAAAATAATAAGAAAAACACTAATATACATATTTTATCGGTTAGTATGTTACTATTCTATTTTGAAATATCTACACCTTATTAAATAGAGGTATATATGAAAAGATGATATTAATTTAAAAACAAATAACTATTTTATTGAGATGTGAAATTCGGTTAAAATGTCTTATATTTTTTAATGAAAGAAGTATATATTACATTGATTTTGGTTTAATTTATTCTTATATGTTTGAGTAATCCCTTTAGGCGCTTAAAAGTGCATTTTGGTTAGAGGGGAGGGTAGATTTTTAAAAGTTCAGTTTTTTTAAAAAAAAAAAATTAGAGAAGTGGGGTTCAAAGCTTTTAATTAATTTTGTTACTCTTTTATCTCACATTTTTTTCCATTTCTTTGAAATCGAACTCATTAAAATCTCCCCTCCCCTCTTTTTGCCTCCAACCATACAGAATTAAGTAGTGTTATTCCCTTTTTATATATAAACACACACACACACACTCCATAAATTTTGTCTTTGGATATGAACAAAGAGTATCTTTCTCTAATATAATAAAGACCAATCTCTATTTCATATTACTAGAAGATAAAGGATAAACCCTTATTCACACACAAGAGTTAAAAATTGAACACTATTACCATCTGCGTACCATGCATTAACATTAACTTAAGTGATGAGTTTTTTAAATAGATTTTATCAGAAGCCATTTAGCCTATAAATATGCATTGAGGGGATACTAGTTCAGCACAAGCTGGCCATATCTTCTTCATTTTCCAATTATAACACACTCTCTTCAAAAGTGCTGTTTGTTGGAAATACCATGGCTTCCCAAGAATCATCATATGCTATGCCTCCTTTAACCCAATCCATCAAAAACGTCCTTAATTTTGGTTATGATGAGTCCGGTGACATTAAACCAACCAACCAAACCCTCAATGTGGAGGCTTTGTTCATGGTCGTCTCTAACATCATGGAAGCCTCATTTAAGGTTTCTGATCCAAACATAAAGGTTTCTCTCTCTGTCTCTCTATATCTATCTATCTATCTATCTATCTATCTATCTATCTATCCATCCATCCATCCATCTATCTATCTATCTATATCCTTTGTGAGCTATCGTCTTTTCCACTACTTAATGGAGAATATAACTGAATAATTTTTCGTTAATTTTATGTATTATTTATTTGTTGTTTACTTGCTGCAGCTTAATGTTAATAAGGAGGACAAGGCAACACTCTCCGGTTTCAAGTCACCCATTGAACGACTTCAGAAGATTGCTTGTCAGGTTATTGTTTTATTTTAAACAAATACATACATAAAAACATATAAATATATATATATATATATATATGGGGCATTTTTTAGAATCTCTAGTTAGTCCAAAATATAAGGCTTTGAATAATTTTATAATTAGTTTTTCAACTATACTATGCTCCTACTTCATTTATTACTTTTTAAAAAAATGATACATTGGAATTTTAATGTCATTATTAAGGAATTTATATAGAGTATTTAATGAGGATCAATGGTGGAGAGAGGCGGGACCAGCAGGGGCCAAGCCCCCTCAATTTTTAAAAATTTTCTTTATATTATATAGGTTATATACTTTTAGTGCCCCTAAAATTTATAAAAACTTTGTAATAGATATGTTTTTAAATTTTGCCCCCTTTATTTTTAAATCTTGCCTTTGCTCCTGATGAGAATATAAATGAAAAGATGTAATTTCTGCAAAAAGATTAAAGTTTCATCTAACATGTTTTAAGAATCATGAAGTAATTATCAATAAATTTACACACACACATATTTACGTACATGCAATTATTAACTCAGTAATATTAACTCATTTTCTTGATGTTTTTTTTATACACACATATAGATGAGGAGGATAGTTCCTGATGCTGCACAAGAAACAACAGTGAAGATGATGACAGATCTGCGGAAGGAATATCCATGGCATGCAATAGCAGTGATGGCACTAGCAGGATTTGCTTTGGATTATGGGAATTTCCATCTTCTTTCTCAGGTTAAAGATGGCGAACACCTTGGAACATCATTGGCTGTCTTGAATGATGTTCAAGCCGTCGTCGAAGGAAGCGTCAAGGAAACCGTTTCCAAATACAACTGTCTAGTGAGGGATGTTTTCTTAACGGTTCAATGTTTGCTTAAGCTGAAGGGAATGTTGGAGCAACAAGATTATGCCGAATTAGAGGACCTTATCCCCACTTTGGACGAAGCTAGGCTTGAATTCCCTTACTTTGTTTACTTGGCTGTCTATGCCATTGTTGTTTGTTCTAGTACTTTCTGCATGGGCAGTTATCAGTAAGTTTATCATAGTCTATTAGGTTCTAAAACCATGTTTAATTTCACATGTGATTGTTGTACTTTAATCTAGCCAGTCCATTCTATCTGAAATATAGGTTAAACTAATTGCTGCGGGCTGGCTAGAACTTAGCACAAGCACACACGCTCACTCGTCCACACACACACACCCCTAAATGGGTTGGTTTTCAAGGAGGGGTATTTTAAGGAAACCAATACATTTTTTTCACAATTAATCTGCTTATAGAGTATATGTGAATTAGTTATTTAAGAGCTGTTTTGCTTCAGGGTCAGCAACGACACATTATCCAAAACTAGCAAATGGATTTCCGATGTTCTTGCCACATTACAGGGGTACCTGAAAGAGATAGAGGAGAAGAAAGGTCACGAGCTTATACTAATCCTAATTCTTATTTTGTAATTAATATATATATATATATATTACCAATAAACTAATTGGTACTAATATATAAGGACAAAAAATGGTGTCATTATTGCAGGTGAGATAGATGAATATTCAGAACGTCTACGTGGGGCATTCCAAACTCCTACAGGAATTTCACAAGTTTTGAAATGTCTGTTATTCCCCAAAAGTCCAGAGCATCACTACGTGTATTACCGCTCGACGAAATCAAGGGTTAGAACTTAGAATTATATATAGGATTCGATCTATTTGGACTAATAATTTCCTTTTTTTAATTCTAATTTTTGTTAGAAATATATATATATATATATATATCTTTATGTGAGATTAATCATTACTCATCAGTTTTCTTTTTCTGTTACAGGTGAAGATCGATGAAATGTTGAAGAACAAGTGTGTGTTATTGTTCATTTCCGGACTGTTCGGCATCGAAGATGAGATTAAGCTTTTGAAAGAAATCAGCGAAGATTTGGCGTCAAATCCAAAATGCGAAAAAGATGGGATGCGAAAGAGTGACTTCAAGATCTTGTGGGTCCCAATTGTTTCTTCTTCTTTAGACAGTGAGAAGATCAAGACACAATTCAACTTTATTGCACAACAATTTGTTACATGGTCGTGTGTGGTGGATTATTCCATTGTTGGACCCGCATGTAAGAAACTGATCAGACAGAAGCTGAGGTACATGAATAAGCCTATGATTGCTGTGTTCAACCAACAAGGAAGCAGGACAAATAACGATGCGTTGGCCATGTTATTTGCTTGGGGACACCATGCATTCCCATGGAGTACAGGTGATGATTTGATTTTTGTTCGGAATTGGAATTGGTTCTGGTCAATACTCAAGGATATCAATCAACAACTCTCAAGTTTGGTAAGTAGCTCTTTTTACTTTCATTTATACTGTATATATATGAAGCACTGATGTTTCAAAAATATAAACAGGGCCGTATATTACCTGATAATATATCATACACGTCCTGTAGTTTATGGTACGTATCACATGTTTTAACATTTGTATTCTTATGATCTTTTTTCAACATAATATATTTATATTACTCCAACCCATTCTATTTATATGATGTTTTTGAGACGTTTTTCACGTATTTTAACTGAAGTTATTATGTTGTTTTATTTATTAAAAAGCATCTTAGCTTTTGAACTACGCCGTTCTTAATTGAAGGAAGAAGATGAGTCATCTTGTTATTTGTGCAAATACTTTCTCACAGTAAAGTATGAAATTTAAAAAATAACTTTATTTATTTTTTTTTTGTTTGAGACACCCATTGGAATGAGGCTTATTGTTGTTGTTGGACACACCATATAATTAGAACCACATTCCATCTTTTATAAAACACCAACAGGATCAAAGTAATATTTAAAAACAAAAAAAAATATTTCATGTTAATTGTTGAAAATATCTTTATATTTCTTTAGAAAATACTGGTTTAAAACTCAAGATTCTTATACTTGTATGCTAAAAATTTGAAATATGTATCACATATATTTCCATACCTAAATATTAAAATTTTCAAAATTGTCATATCCACACTACTATGCTATATTATATTCGATGCATGTACAAATGTCGGTGCTTCTTAAATTATATATGTGTGTATGTATATAGTAAAAGCTGCTATGTCTTCACTAAATTTCCAACAAGTGACATGTGAATATATATATATATATATATATATATATATATGTATATATATCTCAGAATGAGAAAGATTACAACATTATCTTCGGATGCATGGACGAAGCGGACACCAACAACTACGATGGTAGCTGGTTGGGTAAAATCACCGTTGAGTTGGAAAAAATCAAAAGGGACAAGATCATAAGCTCAAGTGGTTTTGCTATAAAATACTATCATCACGGCAAGCAGGCTGAGAATGACTTCAAGTTTGCATATAAGTTCTGGGCTTTTGTAGAGAATGTGTTCACCAGCTTGAAAAGTATGAAGACAACAACCATCAAGGACGACCCTTCCTTGGACAATCTCAAGAAATTCCTTGCCCTCCGGCGAGAAAAGTCCGGCTGGGTTATCATAAGCCAAGGGTCTGAGGTTAAAATGGTTGGCTCCGGTGTGAGCGTGTACAAAACTCTCTATAAGTTTGAGTCATGGAAACACAATATCACTCAACATGGCTTTGATGGGGCTTTTGTGAACGAATATTTCAATGAGTTTCCACCTCAATCAAATTGTCTCCGTTTGGATCTAAAGACCAATGTAAGTGATGTTTCTGTTCCCTTAGAATGTGTGACATGTCAATCTGAGATGGAGATACAGTTAGTCAGATATGTGTGCTGTCATGGCAACCATAGCCGTGCCAAATATGTTCATCGCCTTGCATGAGTCCTTTAAGGAAACGCCGTTGTTTCGGCTGCTAGACCTGCTCAGATTTGAAGGAGGAGGTGTTGTCTTGAATTATTAGCTTGTTTATTAGTACTATGTCTTTAGTAAAGCCTTTCTATAGGGTTTACGATAATAATAAAGCCTTCTGGCTGCGAGTCTGTTTAATTATTATATTGTGTATGTGGTTGCGGATTTGCGTTGATAATAAAATTCCTCCTTCGGTTTAAGTATCCTTTTTTATTTGTTTGTATTTTTTTAAAAAAAAATGTTCGAGTATGTTGAATCCTGTAAATTTTAAAATCTACTCCTCTCGCTCAGTAATAATCAAATCAGGAATGAAAAAGGGAAATGCAAGACGAAGTCCTTCTTATATTGTTATGCAAACTGAAATAAATTACAAAGTTACATAAGAAAATACTGAAAAGAAAGCTCAGAGCAATAAAAGAAAGAGAAGAGTACAATCACAATAATAATAATAATAACCCAATCTTTGCTTGATTCCCCCTTTTAAATACGTTTCCTAGCTTTCGCGTGTCTCCCATTTCTATAGTCGGTAATTCGAGAGGCTGGCTCAACTTCGGCTCGATTTATTAGAATTAGATTTAAAATACTTTAACATATAAAAAAAATTATATAATCAAACCTTACTCTAACTACTCAAGCTTTTGAGCTTATTTAAGCTGAATTGTTAAATATTATTTTATTTTATTTTTATTTTTATGTAATTTCATTTTTTTAAAAAAAAGTTAATATTTTTAGTTTTTATCTTATTTTTATATTGTTTTATGAATAATGAAAAAGGAATTTGAGTATTTGGGACTAAGCCCATTAGGGTTCAGGCTTGGCTCGGATTTCTTTTAATTTATTAGGGCAATCCGAATAAGTCTGAAATAAAAAAAATTTACTAAACTTTCAAAATTAATTTTAAAATTTTTTAAGTGTATTCGGGTTGATGACTTAAATTACCCCCTCTATTCATAAGGTCCATGTGACCCTCCGGGCACGATTTTTCTGCACGAATCTGTAGGACCCTTATTTTGTCCATCTAGCATTTCCATGAGGTCACCTGAGCTTGGTCATCCATCTTCTGCTGAGTTGTGACAATGGCCCCACTCTGCAACATTGAACTTGTTCCCGAGGTCAAAAGAAGTATAATCTCTAGTAAGAGAAGCAGCATCATCCTCCCAAGTCGGATCAGTTAAGCCAATTCAACGAACCAAAACCTGGGTCAACCAGCCATCACCCCGACAAGCTTGCCACACTTGGAGGACTTCTAAGGGCTGAATAACAGGGCCATCTGCATCCATAAGGAGTGGCAGTGGACAATAACAAGAATCACAGTAAACAACTGTGCCAATGCATTGAACCACTTTGAACGGTCCAAATAACATGAAACCTAGCTTTTGATAACGTTTCAACTTTCAATCCGACCGAATGCTAACGATAAGGTTGAAGTTTTTCAAAGACAAAATCGCCCACCTGGAATCCCTCAGCTTGACCGTGTGTCTTTCCGTGTAGCGCTTCATGAGAGCTTGAGCATGCTACAAGTTTTGTTGTAAAGTGGAGAGCAGAGCATCGTGCTCTCGCAACTGTGCATGAAGATCTTGTGGAGAATCTGTTGAGGAGTAATCACGGATGAGTGATGGCGGATCTCGTCCATAAACTGCTTTGAATGGGGTTATTCCAATCGAAAAATGAAAATCGGTGCTGTAGCTGAACTTTACCCATGACAGAAACTCTAACCATCGATGTGGGTACTCATGAACGTGGAATTGAAGATACATCTCAATGCAACGATTCAATGCTTCTGAATGTCTGTCAATTTTTAGATGGTACACGGAACTCATTTGCAGTTGAACTCTTTGAAGCCGACTTAATGCACGCTAAAAATAATTTTCACGTTTTTTTTTAAATAATTTCCACAGTTGAAAACATGGAAATGTCAATCCTACTGTTCAATAAAAATATGCCTATTTCAATTATGGGAAATGCATTCCGACGAGTAAATTATGAGCTGTGAGTTATATTTTTCACAGAATTGTCAGGACCATAGGACTTTCTCCTAACAAATATAAATCCCACGGTCCTGGCAGGAACTGAGGGGACACTTTGTCAGAAACTTTGACACTTGGTTTTCTTACGGTTCCAGAGACAAAATAAAAAAACATAAAATCGACTTCCAAAATTTGTTATAAACTTAATTTATGCAAAAATATTAATTTAAATATTATTGATTAAAAAAATACATTAAATGTACATTATTTTAAAATTTAGCTATTGACATTTTGTGGTTATCTAGTTAAATTGTGCTTTTTGTGCTTTCGAATACTAGGATCCAAATTATTTGTTTTCTCAAACCTACACAAAAAAAAAGTAATTACAATATTTTAAAAATAACTAAAAAAACATGACATAAAATAAAATATAAAAAATACAATAATAAGACTTCAGAAGTGACGCAGACTCACATTGAACATCACGGCCAATGCACTATAGTGTAGAGACGCGGAATGGGAGAGAAGAGATAATAAATGTACCAAATGAATAGTGTAAAGAGAGAGGATGGAGAGTAGAGAAACTAAAAACATCATAGTGGATATGAGAGAAATTACTGGAGAAGAGAGAAACTCATAGGTACCGCATGCGATTCAGAACAAAAATAATAATGCCCGCACGAAACACAATTGGTGGGGGTTAAATAGAAAGGACAAAAATTTCCACAGTTTAATTATTGAAGTGTGAGAAATATTCACACATTTAGCAAATTGCCACAGTTCAATTATTGAGGAATGGGAAATGTTCACACATTGTACAAATTGTCACAGTTGAATTGTGGGAAATGTTTCATACATTTTTGCAAATTGCCACAGTTCAATATAATTATTCAACTGTGGGAAATAGTTTGCAGGCTCACGTGATTTTGCCACAATTTCCTACAATTCAAACAGTGCAACGACAGATATTGTTGGAGGTATCGTTTTGAACTGTGGGAAAACTTCCTATTTCCCGCAATTCAGTTAGATGAGATAATTTTTTTAGAACAAAAAAAATTGAAATCTTCCACAGTAAAAAATGAAACGTGGGAAATTTAAAGATATACTCACGTTTCGTCCCAACCGTCTCATTGTAATCGTAGTCATCAACAACTTTCTTGTAGTGCTTGGATAAGCGATTTATTACCACGATGATGACGATGTACTAACGATCAAGGGGTAAGGAGGTGAGTTTGGTAATTTCTGTAATTTGTGTCATTATGATGAGTTTGGTAACACAACGTACCGACCAAACCCTCAATGTGAAGGCTCTGTTCATTGTCGTATCCAACATCATGGAAGAGCCTCGCTTAAGGTTTCTGATCCAAACATAAAGGTGCGTATGTATCTGTGTGTGTTTCTCTCTCTCTCTCTATATGTGTGTGTGTTTGTGTCCTTTAATTTATGAGCTGTTGTTTTATACACTCCTTAATGGCAAATATAACTGAATAATTTTATGTACTATACATTTCCTGTTTACGTATTGCAACTTAATGTTAAGGAGGACAAGGCAACACTTTCCGGTTTCAAGTCACCCATAGAACGACTTCAGAAAATTGCTCGTCAGGTTATCTTTCTATTTTAAACAAATAAATACATACATACATACATACATACATATATATATATATATACACTTCATCCGAATCATAATATGGGGTATTTTTTAAAATTTTTACTTAGTCTAAAATATAAGGTATTGAGTAATTTTATAATTAGTTTTTCAACTGTACTATACCCCTATTTCATTTTTTTAAAAAAATGATGCATTGGAATTTTAATGTCATTATTAAGGAACTTGTATAAGATATTTAATGAGAATATAATTAAAAATATGTAATTTTTTAAAAAAAGCTTAAGATTTTACCTAATTTGTTTTGAGAACTGTAAAATAATTATCAACTCCTCATATGTGTGTGTGTGTGTATGCATGTAATTATTAACTCAAAGTAATACTAACTCATTTTCTTAATTTTTGTTTAGGACAGTTCCTGACAGGAGCGGAACCGGCATTGCCACATTGTGGGGGCTGCCAAATTTTTTAAAATCACCATGTATTAATTAATTTTTATTTTTAATATTTATTTTAAATAATTTTTAAAATAATTTTATAAAATAAAAAATCAATAGATTGAAATTGTGTATAACTATATATAATATTTTAAAAATCTTTCAAAATGTAAAGTGACATCACATATCTTTATATTATCTTTTAAGAGATTATAAGGTTTAGATTTTGAAAAATAATTTTAATTAGCATTATATGCAAATTAAATAAAAATATGTCTTCATACAAATGCTCAACTTCTCTGCAATTTAAATGAAAAAATAATGTGTATAATGTTAATATTAACTATTACTTTTATTTTTAAAAGTGAACATTGAATACATTATGCATTGTATTTCTGTTTAAACATATCAGTAAAAATTATACATAAATAGTGAAGAAGAAGATATATATATATATATATATATATATGCATATATAAAAACATAAGTACTCTATATGGAGTAGTGGAGCCCATTGACATTCAGAGGGACCCAATTTCACCAATAAATCATTGCCTGTGTTTTTTTCTGAAATGCGTCAATATATTGCAAGGGCAAAAGCCAAACCGGCGTACAAAGCTGCAAAGAACAACAGGGGAAAAGCAACAAAGCAGCAATAAAGCCAAAACTGGAACAGAAAAAATAAATAAATACACCAGCATTTCCCGAACTGCATGAAGAAGTTACAAAGATAGCAGAACCCATCTCATCCTTGGCATCACAGATTGGAATAGACGTTAAGGAGAAAATTTTATTTAAAGTTTTTTTATTTGGAAAATGTCAAAACATTTGTAAGCACAGCTCGAATTCATATTATGAATATCATAAGAATGCTTTGATGCCATTTAAATTAATGGTTCTTGTCTTTTTGTTTTAATCTCTGATAAATATCTAGATACATGTTTTATCAAACCCTGCATATATATTTTTTTCAGAAAATTTATTAATTTATTTTTTAAAAATGTTCATTTTTATTTATCTCTGTTTAAGATTTAACGCCTAATCTTAAAAGCAAGGTAAAGATTTTAGATAAATAAACAATATCCCAATTAATCAATTA